ATCCCGGCCCTACTTCATTCTTGCTGTAGCAGGTGGTAGTTCTTGCTACCACAGTTTATCTTCCAAGGGATGCTTTGCATGACGCCCTGATCCTAACCTCTGACAATAGCTATTTTCTTTATAATCTCAAGCAGCAGAACCTGGGAAAATTGCCTTCGTGAAACCCTAGAGATTTGCTGCCAATAGTGGCATCAACATGCCAAATACTTCGGCACAATACAAAGCAACCTCCTACGTTCAAGTTTTCCTGTATTCTGCTTGCCATAACTCCCGCATTTTTTGCATAACATGGGTTGTTCCTTTAGAATCAAATAGTGCTGGCCAATTATGCCGGCAAAGGGTACAATAAAGGAACCATTGACATTGACTTGAGGAGAACAGTCCAAGTGCTCAATAGGGAAGAGCTGGTTGATTTGCAATTTCCCTGTTTTGAAGCAGTTGCTTTCTGGACCGCAGTGGTGTGGCAATGCATTTATTGATTTAGATTTGCATTTTGAAGTGTTGGTGCTATTAATGCTATAAACACAGGCACAACACATTGGATGTGTGAAATGCTTTGCTAAGCTCCTAGTGAATTCATTGATCTTTTTACTTAATCTGTATCATACACACACAAAGCACTGCATGTCTTTTTTAGAACAGAGAGTAAACTCTAGTTTGGATATTGTATAGGCCAGTCTTCCTTCGGAGTGACTTCTGTTACATTGGTGATTTAGTGAGCATACATGTCCATGTGCTTTGGTGTGATAAGAATACAGAATATAACAAAGGGAATTAGAGATGTGTTTTTAGGATTAATTACATTATCGATTAAATTTATTTTACTCCTAGTTCTATCAATGCTTTCAGTGAAACGAAGTAAAATCTAACATGTAAATTAAACCAGAGGCATTAAAAACCGCAATAAAAACAATTGAAAGCCTGCCTTTATATTTATGGGAATACAAATATAGAATACTTGTTTCTGAGACTTGCCAGAGAAGGTACAAAAACCTGACTTTTAAGGTTTTAAAATTTGCATAATCTTGTCAAACAATGATTTGATAAAGCCACACTCTGAATGTTTAAAGCCTAAGTATCCAAATCAAAGGAGAATAATCCAAAAAACCTCAAGGGAAAAGCTATTCAAAAGGGTGACAGAGAAGGTATGTTTTCACACTCCCCAGGCTCCAAGAAAGCCGTGCGCGCCTGCGTGTATGCACGGGGCAGTGGGGGCAGGGTCACGCACACATGCGCAGGGGACGGCACCAGCATGTGAGTGTATGCAATAACCGCCCACTCATGCTTTTGGCAGCCGAGGCGAAAAAGGTTCCCCATTACTGCCCTACATCATGTAAGGTGCCTTGTAAGTGATAACTTGAATGGTACCTGGAAGCCTGCTGGTGATAAATACAGTACAATTAGGAAGTTTACATGGCTGTACTGAAGTTTTCTATAATTACTTGTGCTCTGCATTCTGGACCAGCTGTAGCTTCTGAGTGGCCTTCAAGGGCAGCCCCATGTAAGGCCTATTGCTGTATTCCATAGTGAAGTGGCAGAGAATCCAAATAAATACCTCCTCTACACTTGTTAGCAGCTTGTAAAAGGAATTATGTATCTACATATGTAAAAACGACTGTGTGTGTGTGTGTGTGTGTGTGTGTGTGTGTGTGTGTTCCAGCATAACTCTGGAACGCCTCGAGCAATTTCAACCAAACTTGGTACACAGATGATTTACTCGCTGGAAAAAAATACTGTGTGAGTAAGAGTAATACCCCTTGGGATGTGTGTTCTGTTAAGATGCAGCCTGTTGTGCTGTACTGACTTCTACTGTACAGCACAGTGGAGTTACCATGGTAACAGCTTCCCAGTACTCCACAAGGGGGCTCCCTCTGGTGAGGGTGAAAATCCAACATTAGAAATTATGTTTTGTCCGGATGTTTCCCCCCTATAAATAATTACCTGGGTAACACTGGGTTATCAGCTAATTTAAAATAATTATGAAGGTGGTAACCATGTAGAGCTATATAATAGCTGCCTTGCCACTTCATGTTTACCAAAACATTTTTATGAGTCTCCATTTCTGTCTTTGAGGTACTGTTTACAGATTGAAGGTGCCCATGCTGAATCTAAAGCAGTATATCTCAATGTCATCGACATTAACATGTGTGGACTTCAACTCCCAGCTCAACAAAGGAATTCTGGAAGTTAAAGTCCTCAGGTTTTAAAATTGCTGAGTTTGATAAACACTGATCTAAAACACCTTTCAATTCAAATCTTGAACAGAAGAAGTCACAGAGATATGTTTAAATGGCATGGAGTTGCTTTGCTTTATTCATAAAGAGGTTT